AAAGTATCATCCATCATATATATATTAAGATTCAAAGGTTCCTTTTAGTAGGAACTATTTTGTCTGACTGCTTAAATTGTTATCTTCTGCTTGTTTACGTTGTTTATACTTTTCTTGAACGTGTTTGTAGACTGTTTTTTTTGTGTGTGTGTGTGTGTGTATTACTTTGTTAGGTAGATGTAGAATTAGTAAGATGAACCAATGAGATGCAGTTCTCAATAAACATTGCAGAATTGATCATTTTTCAACATCAAGTGATCATTTAACATAAATCTTACTGTGGTATTTCATCTTTTGAATTTTCAACCGAAGTTAGATATCCACATTTTCTGGCCTCTTTAGGAGTTAAAAAAATTAATCTGACAATTGTCTACAATCCTTATTATTGTGACTCCCCTAAGAGATTTCAATTATGCTGAGAAGACTAATAGAGAAGCATTGTGATATATCTAAAGGATTAATAATATATTATCTACCGCTAAAAGTTCAAAATTTTCAGTAGTTAATGAGGGATTTTACAAATTTGGTTTTATTGCAACTTGTTATTATGAAAGTATTTTTGTTTATACAGTCAGGTGAGAATTCTGGTGAACATGCTGTTGTTGGCATGTCATGTTCTATGTTATCCAAGGTAAGGCAAAATATTTTGCTCAAGTGTTTGAAAGTGTGGGCCATGAGAGCTTGCTCTCGAGCTTGAGGATTGATCCCTCTATTAAGGCTCTTTTGGAGTCTAGGAACTTGATACTAAGCAACACATAGTTTTCAGCAATATACTGTTTCACTTTCCCATATACTTAGATGAAATTTTGCTAGTCTAGGATTTATATTAACTTTAGAGTATAACGGTTTACAAGGGTGGTGGTGGAACAAGGATTTTTAAGCAAGCGGGGAAGAAAGGATTCACCCTAAATTTGTCAAGTGTGTTTGGGTTGTGGCCGGGGTGGGATCCCACGCAACGAACTGTTTGGGTCAAACCAAGAATACATGCTTCAAGAAAAGCATGGCTTATATTCTAGGGGAATGGCTACAAATTGATTTTAACGTTTGGTAGGATTTTGTTTGTGTTTGCCCTACCTTGTAGGATCACGTATGTGCATGATCTTACATATCTATATTCGATAGGGATGACTTGAGATTTAAAATTCATGTATTTTTGTCTTGACCTATGGAATCACGAAGTTGGAGGTTATATCTTTGAATTTTATAGAAAAACCTCATGAGACAAGATACATACATATAGATAGGGATGACTTGAGATTTAAAATTCATGTGTTATTGTCTTGACCTATGGAATCACGAAGTTGGGGGTTATATCTTTGAATTTTATAGAAAAACCTCATGAGACAAGATACATACATATAGATAGGGATGACTTGAGATTTAAAATTCATGTGTTATTGTCTTGACCTATGGAATCACGAAGTTGGGGGTTATATCTTTGAATTTTACAAAGCTTGGAAATTGATGTTTCACTTTCGATTATGATCTTAGAAGGCTTAATAATTTTGCTTTGGCTTGATTGGAGTTTGTTCACAAATGAGAACTGCACACTTTTGAGTTGATAGAGAAGCTCTTAGAGTTTTGAAATTGATGTGAACTTTGCTTGTATTTGTATATTAAAGAAGCGTTTTAACTATTGCTATGCTGTCTTGACCATGGGAATGGTGGTTATTTTATGGAAATGTCAAATGCTGGAATTTCCAACATCGATGTAAAGGAGGCTTATAAACAAAGCTTACTTTCTCTATAAGTATGGCAAAGCTAGTCTAGGAATCAATATTTGCTTAGGTTTCTTGATTTGAAATTGTATTTACTCATTTAGATTTGTTAATTTGAAGCTTTGAACTAATATCTTGATGAAAAAGCCAAAGAAAAATTTCCATTTTCATGAATTATGGCTCTAATTTGATTAATGCTCGTGGTTTGAGGTGTTAGCATGATTGTTTGTGTTTTTGAGGCTTATGGTTTATGTGTTAGCCTTGTGATATTGTCTGGACTTTAAATTTGGAGGTGGGCAAGGAAGCCCAATTTATATTAATTAGATTTTGGTTTGATATTTAATTTGGTATTGATTTATGGGATGTTTGGTTTGCTGAAAAAGGAATGAAGTGTAAAGGGAATAAAATATAATTAAAATGCAATGTATTTGAAATACTTTAAAGTTGTTTGGTCTTGTGTAACGTGAAAGTAGGAATTTATATTTTTGTATTTGGTTTGAAGAAAATTGAAATTAATATAAAACATGCTCTACGATAATGGTGGTGGTGACCAGTGGTTTTGGCGTCTGCAGCTGGTAGTTGGAAGTGATGATGGAGGACATACGTTGACGGGTTGTCGGTAGTGTTGGGGTTGGGACCACAATGGTTAGGTGGCTAGCGACGCCAAAAAGGTAACCAACTGTGGAAGGTGGTAGGCGATTGACATGTGGTAGGCAACCATTGGCGCCTTGCAGTGGGCAGAACACCGATAGGTGGTTGGCTGTTGATGATGAACGATAATTGTAGCAACAAACAACAATTTGCAGTGTATCTGAAAAAAGTCCAAATATAATGAATTCGACTTACATCATTTTTGAACTGTTGTGAAATTCTGAATTCACCAAATTTTACACTATATTTTATTTTCATCCAACGAATTCTGAATTCACCAAATTTTACACTATATTTTATTTTCATCCGACCAATCGTCAAAATTTGGAAAACTTCTTCATTTGATTTATTTTACACCACTAATGTAGGGAACCAAACAAACCCTTAATATCCAAGCCTTATTGTTATGTTGGTTGAGATGCTTGGAGAATTGATGAGTTGAATATTGACTTTTGTGTTCGATATTTAATATGCATTTGATAGATGAGACTAAAACTCCATTTATAAAGTTGTGTAGACGATCATATCTTACTATCTCAACTTTAAGAGTGCTTAAATGTGTAACTTACGACTTAGATGTTTGAGTCAGCTCATTGGTGGGTGTTATGACATTATTCTATAGGCATGGCAATTTTAGGTTATACATTGATTATATTTGGATGTAAATTGAGTTCGTTCTTTGTGTAAGCTTTTTTGAAGACTTGAACTTATAACCTTTGATTTAAAGAAGCCCATGAGGATTTATGATTTGTGTATGAAACTTTTGATGAGTTAGGCCGAATTAATGCAATAACATTGCACTTACAAACATAATTTATTGGAAACCTCAATGTGATTTGATTTGATGTTTTGATACTTCATTGAATTTTGGCTTGAGGTTGAGGACTTGTTGATTTGGTTTTATATTAGCATATAAGATCGATAATCAACCATGGGTATAAAAATGAATGAAGTGTAGGTTTTACATCTTCGCTCTGAGGCTTATTGATAGGTCTTACTTCCTTTCCCTTTAATTGAGGTGACTCGATGGTTGAGACTTTCGGATTGAAGCAAGGCTTGTAAGGTTTTGATTTAATTGACTTCGTTGATTTTTTTTTATGGTTTGATTTGATTACATTATTTGACTTGGCTTTGATTTGATTTGCTGATTAATAGATTTTGAAACCAATGTAACTTGCATTCAATTGAGGCAAATTATTAATGCCCCAAATTTGGTTTTTAGGTCCTAAAATACATTGTGCTAATTTGTTTACCACATACAACCTTTGTGTCCTTTGGTGGTTCGTTTAGAATTTATAAATTGTGATTTGGTGTCCTCTTTAAGGCTATAATATTTTCTGCTGTTGTTTTGCCAAGATACCATTTATGCAAGTTTTATTTAATGTTTTTTGTTTAATTTGAGAGAATGTCAGAGTTGACCAAGCCTTTTTTTTTAATAACTAATTAATGAGTTTGGTTGTACTTGGTTTTTGGTTTGCAGACAAGGGACATAAGGTTTGAGTTATGTGTTTTGTATAACATGATAAATTATTTTATGAGCACAACTTCTAAGAGCACCGATATAATTTGACCTACTTCCGGGGTTTATAGAGGTCAAATTAAGGTTTTGTATCCTTAATCAACTTGTGAGGGGAGATTCCCTCAAGTTTGAGAATTTCAACATGTACACACTTAATAAATATTTTGATATTCAAGCTTTGTTGGTTTTATCAAGCATACTAACCATAATGAATTAGAGATTTTATACCCTCACCCTCTATTGACGCTAAAAAACTCCCTCAAGTTTATTACTTATTAAGTTTTTTGAGATATTATGTATTTTCTTAGTTTGGTAAAGTAGTTTTGTCATATTACTTGGTTACATGTCACACCACCATAATTCAAAGCATCCGTGCTTTTTGTTAGATGATAAACAGGGACTATCTTTTGATCAAGAGTTTCTGGATCATTTTTGTTGAAAAAACTTGGAGGGAATGCTCACATAATTCTTATTGCCAATCTAGAGTTTCTGAATCATAATTCTTCTCTCTCTCTCTCTCTCTCTCTCTCTCT